ATGGATGCCCTGTCGCCTCCAGTGGGAAACGAGAGGTCTAAACATCTTAGTAAAGATATAAGGGGCTGAAGAAAAGCCAAAGGGAAGGATTCGGAAGCAAACATATCTAACCTTACCCTTGTAATACCAGGAAAACCCAAAAAAACACTGGTGAGGAGGGAAAATCTCAACATGATGATAACCACTCTTAATATCAAATGAAAACATGAAATGACCTGCATCCAAAAAATTCAAAGCGACCTTAAGGTCTTCCGAAACTTAACTCTCTGCTTCCACAGGTGCTTGTTAATAAGCCGCAAATCTAAGATCAAAGCTTCATGCCTGAGGACTGCACAGATACAGATAAAGGATTCACATTATGCGGTATCGAGTCCGTTTCAAAAAAACGATTGGTGAGTAGCAATTCAGATATTGCTTCTTCGACGAAACCGGCATTGGCTAAGGCAGACTTATTTTTATCTGAGAAGCTAACAGGGGGCATGGAGTAAAAAGAAATACGATAGCCTGTATCTATAACATCTAAAATATACGGATTGGCACCAATAGATTTCCAAAACTGAATCTGGGTCTTAAGTCTACCCGCTACAATAACATTAGAGCTCTAAAAACCCCGCTCATATTCATAGAAGTCATGATTTAAATCTACGTACTCTGGAGAAAGAATTAGAGACTTATCTCTGTTCGGTAAAAGCGTGGAGCTTTCCGCGTCCATTAAATTCGCTTCCTGGGCTAGATAGCTGTGGGCTGAACACCACGAGAAGGGCACTGGCTTCGAAAATGGCCAAACTTTCCGCAGGCAAAACAGGATCCTCCCAGGGCGGACGAACTAGGCCAGGTAGTAGTGGAGGTATTCTGTGAGGCAGTGGCGGGAAATGTTGGACTGGAGAAAAGGGCCAGGAGAATGGAAAACCGTAGGACTGTCGAGGGGAACGGACGAAATGGGGGCCTGGAAATGGGGACCTCGGGGAAGTAAAAACTGTTTTTTTCTGCGATTGAGCTCGACGGCGCTTCTGCTATGCTCTTGCTTCGGCCTGTCTTATGCGTTTGTGGTCGTCGCTGTTGTCGGCAAGGTCTCTGTGCTCGTATTCATTAACCACTTCCCAACCTTCTTCAGAGGAATCGGCGATTAAGATAAGTTTATTCCTATGAGCGAGCTTTTTCTCACCTTCTTTAAGTTCTTCAAGGGCCTTTTCAACTTGTGGTGGCGTAGATTGGAAGAATGAGGAGGCCGACTGAACGTGATCGAGGACTTGAGTATTCGCCTCAAACTGCTTCTCGTTGCTTTTCTTCTTAAATTTCGGTGCTGATGAAGGGGTGGATTTAAGTCTTTTTATCGCTGATTCGTGCTCTTCAGACAATTCTCTCTTGAGGGGTGCAAAACCATCGCGAAGCTCCTCCTGTAGATCGGATAAGGTTTTGGCGAGATCAATTTTAGGATCGGACGGC